TTAAAAAGGTGCCACTGAAGAACCACTTTGGGTTCCCTAAAGAACCTCACAATGGATGGATCGCCCTTTATAATGTTCATATGATCCACACAGTCACTCTGACAGACTGTAATACACTACAGAAAGTGTAGGGGGCGATATGGCTTCTACTGTTTCATTTAAAAAGCATCTATAATGTTCATATGATCCACACAGTCACTCTGACAGACTGTAATACACTACAGGGAGTGTAGGGGGCGATATGGCTTCTACTGTTTCATTTAAAAAGCTCTTTAAATGTTCATATGAAGACTTTCTGACCCACAAGATCCAGAAATCCTTCCTACCAAAGCAGCACCCTGGAGGAATGACTGGACAGAATTAGCGGTGATGCGTATTTCACAAGATCTGAGAGTCCTACATTCGCTCGGCTAATTCTAGCACTGAGTTATTTCAGAGAGTGAGGTCAGCTGACTGACCTGGCAAGGATGACCTGCCGTTTTGGTAGAGCGCTGGCACCAGGCGAAGTGTCTGACTGATTACTTAACACCTGATTAGCACTACTCAAATGCACCCAGGCCTTTCTAGCTACACTACAAATCCAGAACCATGCAGACGGGCCTTCTAACAGAACTCTGAGGTGCACCGATCACTGATAGCTTGCATAACCTCCATAGAAAAGCACTGACCAACAGAATGGGACAGTCTGGAGCAGCCACACAGAGCCTAAGGTCTCCATGCCCAATGCCAAGCGTGGGCTAGAGGGGTATAAAGCCCCCCAGCATTGGGCTGTGGAGCAGTGGAGCTGGGTTGGAGTGATGGAGCTCCATCCAGTACCTTTGGGATAAGCTGGAGTGATCCAGAACTGACCATCCAACATCAGCACCTGACCTCACTAAGGCTCAATCAAATCCTCACAGCAATGTTCCAAGATCCAGTGTAAAGCCTTCCCAGAAGAGTAGTGGCTGTTACTGCAGCTCCTTATTAATACCCTTCACTTCAGACAAAGCGCTGGAGGAGCAGGTGTTTACAAACCAGCGCAGCTTATCTGCTAGATTACCTTAAGATGTTTATATTAGTGCCGCCAAACATCAAAGGCGGCTTGTTTTGAATAACCTGTCTGTCTTAAAACAGCCAGACTACTTCCTGACCACAAGAAAATAGGCAGGTTTTCTCTCACTGGCTGTGTTTACACGCAAAGATTTTCACCAATCTGACTGAAAACATTGATTACAGATTCAGACTGAGGTGTTTATTCTCACTCTACTGAACAATCTGATGAAAATCTTTGTTTACATGCTCACTACAAGTAATCCGATCCAAAATTACACGCATGCGTGGAAAACCGCTTAGTGTAGATGTTACCATGACAACCAGCATCACGTGAGTCCAGTCAGAGTGAGATGAGCAGCAGTGAGCAGCGCTTGTGTTTTTAATTGCTTTAAAATGATGTCAGACTCAGGAAAACGTCCTTCACATGTCCTTATTAAAGAAGGCCGAGAGGAAGACGTCGTGTTCTGAGACACATAAGCTGGACGTCCGTCCCACCGCCGTCTTTTAAAGATCAGAGCATAAACTTCGTCTCCTCTGCAGACCAGTTTCTGCTCCGCCATGTTGAACGGTATAAACTCTCACTATGACGCGACGAACATGATCAGAACGGACTTAAACTTTCCGATAGGGAATGTAATCAGATACAGGCGTTTACACGGATATTATTCTTCTATTTAACGGATTATTTACAGGATTACCCACCTCGATCAATCGGAGAGAAACTGTATTCCGAATGGCCTCAATCAGACTAGACTATTCCGACTGAGGTGTTTACATGGACGTATTCTATTCCGATTGAGCTGTTAGTCGGATTATTAACGGTTTATCAGGCTGCATGCAAACATGGCTACTGATTCCTTCTTTTCAAAGTAGGTTTTGGTTGTTGATGCACGGTAGCATCAGCACTGTCATCATCACAGTTTCGCCAAGTTATGAATGTTTTTGCAAAAATCAACCACAGCAATTTACTTCCATCAATCATTTTTCATTTCGGCTCATTCACATCTCATTTATTAACAGATCTGCAACTTTTTTGCCCAGACTGGAACTCATTATGCTCTGCCTTAAAACATTACACTTCCAAATATGCCATACAGCACCAAACTATCAATAAACACCAGGAAAACCACAGAGTGACGACCAAAACAGCACTGAACGTTCAGAGACTGGCCTATGAGACACGGTGGGATGTGGTAAGAAAGTAGTCTCTATTAATTGTGCTGAATCGATATTTCTGATATTACCTGCTGAAAACGGCCCCATCAAGGTTTTCTAATGTCTACTCATTCAGAAATTACTTGTTAACTAATTTATACTCAATCTTCAGGCCTACCTGGAGCTCATCATGCTCTGCTTGGGCACTTTGACTGGAAATATTTGTCCAAAAAACAACCAAAAATAGTCCCCAAAAAACAAACCAAACAAACAAAAAGAAAAAAAAAACCATAACACACACACAATTATAGCAATTACTGAGCTACTGATAGAATACCAAATACCAAAGCAGCACTGATAATTCAATTTGAGCCCACTAGTGTTGGTGGCATTTTTTCATTGTGTTAAATTAATATTTTACAGTCATTTGCAAAAGTTTGGCAACATGTTGTTGTTGATTTTCTAAGTGAAAATAAGTTACACACCTCTTCAGAGACACATCTCCGCACATTTTAATACACAATTACCGATTTTTTTAAAGAATACATGGGGGGGGGGTAATTAAATAAAATATGAAATGTGGCATAACTTGCATAGGCCACGTTTTGTGTGTGTGTGTGTGTGTGTGTGTATGTATATATATATATATTCACACACATACACACACACAATATATGTATATGTATATGAAATATTACTACTGTTGAAACAAAATCTTGTATCTTCATTTTTCAGTTTTTGACACAATTTGAAAATACCTGTTGTCCTTTACATTGTGTGTAAATTTCATGATAAACTGACCAAAAGAAACGACCCAAAATGACATGAAAAGATGTCTGGTTCCATTGACTTACATTAAAAGTAAAGTATGTTTTTTCCTTCTCCTGTAAAGTTATCATTTTGGAGATACAAGGTTTTTATCCGACAACAGTGATATATATATATATACACACACACACACACAGAGTATATATGATAAAAGACGCTACACATCAACTTCTCTTCAAACAAAAATAATAAACTGCTTGCTATAAACAGGGTTTGGTCTTCTTGCCCTGAACAGTGTGCGCCACACAACCCTACTGAGGGCTCTAATTAACAGCAGTTCATAGATTATTAAAGCTCTTCTATTATCTTTAGCTTTGATGATCCAACCTTTTGCCTTAGGATGAAACGCACCAACAATTCCATGTTCCGGAAAAGGTTCAAAGCAGAGCAACGTTTACAAAGACGTGACAGACAGAAATACTGCTTTAAAACTGTATACAAACATAAAATTAAAAATGCTTCTTCCTTCATTGTTATTCAACATCAGAGTGACACAGACTTCAGTTCTCTTTATAGCCTTTCAGTATGAGACTCACTTCAATGCGCACTAAAAAACTGCAGAGAGCTCATTTACATTAAATCGGTATAAAAATGGACCCAAAGTGGGAAAAAAACGAAAAAGTAGGTTATGGGCCCTTTAAATCTCTGCTGCAGAGCAGAAATGAGGTGAAAATCGCGTGATGTGTGCATCAGGCTTAACTCTTTAAACCTCTCTCCTCCACCTGACCACCTCCCCACCCCCCCGACTCAGCAGACGGTCCATATTGTGTCTCAATCAGTATGGCCATCTGCTGAGGGGCAGGAAGAGTTACAGCCTTCCTTTTGATCCAGCAGCTTAAGGACAAACTTACAGCCTCACCCCCCCCTCGCCCCCCATCCACCAGCCCAAAACCTGCCGCTGTAGGAGAAACGGTCACTCAAAACACTCAGAAAGTGAATTTATAAGCAAAAAAAAGGCAGCTGTTTGAGTGTAGGTGTGTCCATAGCATTTGCCCCGCCCACTTTACTCTGATAGGCTGCATTCAAATGCCTAGTTTTGATGGCCAGTGGTTTCAGTGAAAGGCGGTAAATGAGACGTTTAGAAAAGAGTGAGGGACAAATCAGCCACACAGTTCTACTTTTACATACTGGCTGATACCATATTGACATTTATACAATTACACGTCTAAAACATTTGATTTTGGCAACATCTTTGTTCCGCATCACAAATAAAACACCCAGCTTGGCCTGATGGTACGTAGGTAAACCTGTGGTGTTTACACTTCAGCACACAGCAGCTTCTCTGGCTCAGAAACGGAGCTGAATGTCGTTTCATTTCTGAATTTCGAGTCGTTTGTCTCAGACGTGCGTCTCGTTCGCTCGCGCTGCATCTCTGAGCGTCAGTTCGGTAAACATCGCCGTCGTTACGCTGTCAGCATCAGCGACTCTCTGTGGTTTTTCTGGCTTGGTTGAAGTGACGGGCCACGATAACCACTGCTGAGTGACCCCGCTGACCAACGGAGGCACTGCAGGCGGGGATAGACACACAGGCCCGGCTAGCAGGCTGCTATGCTAAAGGCTAAATCCAGGCTAAGCGCTATCATTACATGGAGAGTCTGGCGGTTCCTTCCGCTCTCTCTTAGAAGCAGTACCTACCCTCCCACTATCTCCACAATCTTAACCTTGTTTTTAAATGTGTCAGTATTTGTATTTTTATTGAGATGTTGTGTTTTGTGTATATGGTTTGTGAGTACCGACAAGTCAAATACTGACTGATATGGCAATAAAGTACTGAAACACTCGTTTAATCTGGGTAAAAGTGAATTCAGGCCGAGTTCCGACTGCTGCTGCTGCTGTTTTGACCATTTTAATGCAGTTCTGTGTGAATTCCTCTCTGCAAACGTTCAGCTCATCAATACAACCACAATCTGCGGCCAACGGCGTCAAAAGACCGTTGTTAAGACCGAGCAGGTCAGGCGGGGACGCGGCGAGCCGCGGGCTCTTACCTGCGGCAGGGCCGTGTTCAGCTGCCTCTGCAGGGAGTCTCTCTCGTGCATGACCTCGTGCAGTTTGCTCTGCGTGAGTCCCAGGTTCTCCTGGGTTTCTCTCAGAGTGTCCAGCAGTCTGTCTCGCTCCTCCAGCATGGACACCATCAGAGACTCGAAGTGCCCCTCGGAGTCCGACTGCAGGGGGGATCCGGACCCCCGGCCGTCCCCGTTACTCCCCACCTCCGCCTCGCTAATGGTGGGCATCACCTCGCACATCATCTGGGAGACGGAAAAAAAGATAGTGAATAAAAAGCCGACATTCTGTAAGTGAAGAGAGAATTATTTACAGTGCGCACTTAAAAAAAAATTAATTAATTAATTTATTAATTTTAAAAAAGGGGGTTCTTCGAGGGTTCTTAATAAAGACAACGGTTCTATATAGAACTATTCAGATTTGAGCAATGAGGCCTGTAATGTGAACGTAGCCTTACAGACCCTCACCGCGTCTGAAATTTCTATCGGTCCACATTTCCACTCGATGTAAAAGAAGCCGTCGCTCTCAAACGACGTAAAATTAACAAACGAAAAACGAAAAGTGGGGCTCTGACGTCGAATTATGTTGATGACAACCTGATGGAGTGATAGGAGTCTTAATAAGTGGCTTCAAATATGATATAAAATGTGTAAATGTTGCTTTGTTTACACAGGTGACTAAAGTTTGGGCAAAGCTGGTCTTTTCCCTCAGCACCGAAAGGACTTTGGGGGGGAAAATAGAAGAAAAAATAAAATAAAATAAGCGTTTAGACAGAAGATCTGAAGCGTTAACGACAAACAGACTGAATAAACTGAATGTGTTAACAGACAGATCTCATCATATTAAAGGGCCCATATCCTACATTCTTCTCATACTTGGGTGCTTTTATGTACCAAAAACAGCCATAATTGGCTTTTACTTCACCATTTTCCAGCCTCTCTTTATCCCTTAGAATTAAACAGGTTGCTTGCTACTGTGCCTTTAAGACTGATATGTAAATTAGCTCTGTTCTGATTGGCTGCCATGCAGCCACGACTGAAACGCTCCTTATAACAATTAAATGAATGTGCGGAGTCGTTTTCTGTGACATCACAAAAACAGGGAAATCAAAACGGGCTGTTTGTGCAGTTTAGCATATAGGGACTGTATGGACTGGGGAGTGAAGGGTTCTTCAAGGGTTCTTCAGTAAGGAAAATGGTTCTATGCAGACCATTTGCATTATTAAATGGTTCTCTGCATCGCGAAAGCGTTCCTCAGATTGACGGAGAATGTGCTGTAGATGGTTCTATATGCAACCTTTTTTTGAAAAAGGTTCTATATAGCACAAAAATGGTTCCTGTATTATGACAAGAGCACCTTTCAAAAAAGTTCTAAATAGAACCATCTACAGCACATTCTCCGTCAGTCTGAAGAACCATTCCATGATGCAACCATGCAAAGGGTTCTTTGAGCGTCCGTGGGTCTATATAGAACCATTTCCTTTATTAAAGAGTCCTTGAAGAACCATCTGAAAGGGTTCTTCAGATTGATGGAGAATGTGTTGTAGATGGTTCTATATAGAACCCTTTTTGGGAAAAATACATAAATAAATAAAAAGAGTTCCACTATTGTTACACGCCAGAGAACGTTTTTTGGAGCAATATAGAACCCGAACTCTAGCTTCACTCTTAGAAAAGATGGTTCTTCAAGGGTTCTTTAGTAAAGAAAATGGTTCTATATAGACTGGCTGCATAGCTGAAGGGCTCTTTGCATCATGAAATGGTTCTTCAGATTGACTGAGAATGTGCTGTAGATGGTTCTATACAGAACTTTTGAGTTCTACATACCACCAAAAAAAGTGTTCTTCAGTTGTTACGATATCAAGTTTGTCATTATAGAAGAACCATTTTCGGTGCTATATAGAACCCATTTCACAGGTTCTATATAAAACCATCTACAGTGCATTCTCCATCAATCTGAAGAACCACTACATGACGCAAAGAACCCTTTAACCATGGGTCTATTAGAACCATTTTCTTTATTAAAGAGTCCTTGAAGAACCATGTGAAAAGGTTCTTCAGATTGATGGAGAATGTGTTGTAGATGGTTCTATATAGAACCCTTTTTAAAAAGGGTTCCACTTCTGTTACAAGCCAAAGAATGTTCCATGTAGACTGGTTGCACGGCTAAAGGGTTCTTGAAAAGTGCTCTTCTACTGTTACGGTATCAAGTATGTCATTATAGACCATTTTTGGTGCTATATAGAACCATCTACAGCACATTCTCCACCAATCTGAAGAACCATTCCATGATGCAACCATGCAAAGGGTTCTTTGAGCGTTCATGGGTCTATATAGAACCATTTTCTTTATTAGAAAGTCCCTGAAGAACCATCTGAAAGGGTTTTTCAGATGGATGGAGAATGTTTTATAGATAGAACTATATAGAACCCTTTTCGAAAAGGGTTCCACTATTGTTACAAGCCAAAGAACCCTTATTTTGGTGCGATGTAGAACCCTTTTCGCTAAGAGTGTATGTTTTGAAGACCTTTGAAACTCTTATTTAAAAAAAAACTGGGAGAAAATTTGTTTTTCAATGATTTTGGCTCTTTAAATGTCGGATTAATGTACAGTCGCTGTCAGAAAAACGGTACCGTGAGGGTAAAATTTGGTTCCAACAATGTAAACATACCCTGAAAGGTTCCTAAGGTACAACTATGTACCTTAAATTACTTCTAACCGCACATCACACACACACGTTTGTAACTTTTCACAACTTTTTAAGTAGAAAATTGACATGAAGAGTCTGAACACGACTAAAGGTACTGAAGACGTAGCGCTGAGGGAACCGACCCTGTTACACGGTTAAGAACGTTCTCCTTCTTCTCCTCAAAGTTACCACTGTGTGGACAAAAGGTTCCAGCAGTGACGACATGAGCAATGTGAAAGCATCAGCGTGCCGAGGAACAAAACGCTCACTCAGCAACTCGGAAAGCCTCGCGAACAGCACTAATCTCTGCCTTTCGTTTCGGTTCTGACGCCAATATCAGCCTCCAACTCAGAAAGGACAGCACTGTCTGCACTACGGACTCCAGACCAGCGCGCTACGTGGAAAAGTGAACGACCTGCCACTGACGCTCCAAAGTACAGCCACATTCCAGCCGTCTGAGGAAACGACGGAGGTCAGAGACCAACACGCTAACCTGAACCAGAGGAACCTTTAAAGGAACAGTCTGGCATTAAAGGAACATGCTTTACAGAACCCACACCCTCCACTGTTCTGAGGTCCCTTTATAACGTCTGTGCTTTTATTACGTTTTTCCATGGCTACAGTTCAACCTCCCCTCCCTCAGAGCCAAACAAGCTGCGCCTTGATATATGCAAATGAGCTCTGTTCTGATTGGCTGCCTCATAAACACTCTGTATGCCTTGAGCAGGCAGGGCTGAACTGCTGTGGGCTGAACAGGCAGATACGTGTAAAGGCATTCGTTTGCATGACATCACAAAAACAAAGAACTGCTGACGAAGATGCTTTCGGCGCTGAATGTCCTCCCCGACCCGTTTGGACCGGAGAGCGAACAGAACGTTTAGAAAACTTGAAGGTAATCAGAATCTTTAAAGAACTAGTCTGGCATAAAATGGAACGCCCCTTTAAAGGACTAGTCTGGCATATAATGGAACGCCCCTTTAAAGGACTAGTATGGCATATAATGGAACGCCCCTTTAACGGAAAAGCTGGCATATAATGGAACGCCCCTTTAAAGGACTAGTCTGGCATATAATGGAACGCCCCTTTAAAGGACTAGTCTGGCATATAATGGAACGCCCCTTTAACGGAAAAGCTGGCATATAATGGAACGCCCCTTTAACGGAAAAGCTGGCATATAATGGAACGCCCCTTTAAAGGACTAGTCTGGCATATAATGGAACGCCCCTTTAACGGAAAAGCTGGCATATAATGGAACGCCCCTTTAAAGGACTAGTCTGGCATAAAATGGAACGCCCTTTTAACGGAAAAATCTGGCATAAAATGGAACGCCCCTTTAATGGAAAAATCTGGCATAAAATGGAACGCCCTTTTAAAGGACTAATTTGGCACATAATGGAACGCCCCTTTAATGGAAAAATCTGGCATAAAATGGAACGCCCCTTTAAAGAACTAGTTTGGCATAAAATGGAACGCCCCTTTAATGGAAAAATCTGGCATATAATAGAACGCCCCTTTAAAGAACTAGTTTGTCATAAAATGGAACGCCCCTTTAAAGAACTAGTTTGGCATAAAATGGAACGCCCCTTTAAAGAACTAGTTTGGCATAAAATGGAACGCCCCTTTAAAGGACTAGTCGGGCATAAAATGGAACGCCCCTTTAAAGGACTAGTTTTGCATAAAAAGGAACGCCCCTTTAAAGAACTAGTTTGGCCTAATCTAGTTGGCATGGGGGGGTTCTCCTGTAAAGAGCAGGCAGTGCCAAAGGCCCGGTGAGCCGCTGTCCTGTAGAGACTGTAAACACAGCCTGAGGCCGAGTGAGGCGGATTCTGCACAGATTTAAAGACGCGGGAAGCGAGGGAGATCAGCACACCAGCCTGGTGACAGAGACGGAGCACTTATCACCAACCTCACGCCAAAGCCACTTCCTGTCAGAAACCGCCGAGCTCAGCTGCAAGAGGCGCTACTGAAACTACGAAACTCGTCCTCAATCAGCACTTTTCCTGAATATTACAGCTTAATAATGATGGACGTACAAAACAACTGCACTGTACACTCAGAGGGGAATTCCACTCCAGTTTTTCAAAATTTCTGCATAATTAAACGGCTAAACATCATTCAGAGCGGTCTGGAGTGAAACGCTCCGTTTTAGAGAACTTCAAAATCAGTGCTGGTGACAGAAACAAGACGTCCACCTCAAACTCCCTCAGAGAAAGTTATAACACGAATTAATTACGAACACGCTGCCTGAAATACGTCTGAAACATTGTTTTTTACGGTAGTTCTGAGAAGGTTTTGGCCTTAAAAACACTTTTTAAATCCATTCATAGTGGAGGGACACATCCAGGTTGATCTAAGGCTAAAATGGTCCCCAATTAAAACTTATTATTTCAGATTTTCCACTATTTTCCATCGTCAACATTCCATACAAACTCAGAAGACTCGTGTAGGTTCACTGGTGGTTCTGGATAGTAAATAAAACGTCTATATTTGTGTTGTAGTCATGGCGACCCCTGGTTCCTATCACCACCACTGTAAAGACATCTGAACCATTTCACACCAAACCACTCTGAATCTCTCTGTGTACATGTTTATGAGAATTCTGAAACACAGCTGGACTTCCCCTTTCAGCTGTGTGCACTGTGCTTTGACTGAAGGTGGCTGCAAACTGGGACCACAATCCTAACGTAGGGTAATGTATATGGCAAATTCTCGAGCTGTGAGCCCCGCCACCATCAAATCCTGCACATCTAGCGTAGATACAGTATTAACAGCCCGAGGGGGGCAGTGGGGTGGGGGGGGTGGGGGATTTAACCTAATTTTGCTTTGGCAAATGGACTGCGATGCTGCTACGCGCCCATAAGGAGGTCAAACGCAGGGAGCTTTACAATAGTGATGCTGGGGGAGGGGGAGGGGGTGGGGGCTTTGAGCTCCCATCTCCAGTTCAAGCGGGACGGACTGACAGATGGTACCTGCGGGATACCTGGGCATCACGTGACTTCTGAGCGTGAAACCAGCCAATCAGCATCGAGCCACGCTCACCTTTCCTTACACTACTCCAGCATGGCTGATACACTGAGGCTGTATTTCCCCCTTAAAATCCCATTTAAGCTCCGTTTGAGAGCCAAGAAGTGATGATCGCAAGAGAAATGGGGCCCAAATAAGGTTCTTCAAGGGTTCCTCTGTAAAGGAAATGGTTCTATTGAGAACCTGAGTTCTATATAGACCATTTCATGCTTAAATAGTTCTCTGCATGGTAAAACGGATCTTCAGACTGATGGAGAACGTGCTGCAGATGGTTCTATAATTCTTCTATAAAGAACCGTCTTGAAAGTGGTTCTATTTAGCACCAGAAAGGGTTCTTCTATTGTATTCATCACACTTAGAAAAGGTGGTTCTTCAATGGCTCCTTAGTAAAGAAAACGGTTCTGCACAGAACCATGAGCACTCAAAGAACCCTCTGGTTCTTTGCAACTTGAAATGGTTCTTCAGATTGATGGACAATGTGCTGTAGACGGTTCTATAATGCTAAAAGGAACTTCTATAAAGAAATGTCTTTAAAATGGTTCTATATAGCACCAAAAAGGGTTCTGCTATTGTTTGTCAAGGGTTCTTTAGCAAAGAAAACTGTTCTGTATAGGACCAAAAACACTCAAAGAGCCCTTCACATGGTTTAAGGGTTCTCTGCATCATGAAATAGTTCTTAAGATTGATGGAGAATGTGCTGTAGATGGTTCTATACAGAACTTTTTTGAAAAGGGCTCTTTTGTTGTTACAATGCCAAACTTCTCATAATAGAAGAACCATTATGCTGCTTTATAGAGCCCATTTCAAACTGGTTCTATGTAGAACCACCTACAGCACATTCTTCATCAATCTGAAGAACACTTTTAAGATGCAAAGAACCAAAGGGCTCTGAGTGTTCATGGTTCTATACAGAACCATTTTCTTTACTAAGGAACCACTGAAGAACCATCTTTTTATGTGTGATAAATACAATAGAGGAACCCTTTTTGGTGCTGTATAGAACCATTTTCAAAACAGTTCTATATAGAACCACCTACAGCACATTATTTATCAATCTGAAGAACCCTATCAAGATGCAAAGGGTTCTTTGAGTGTTCATGGTTCTATACAGAACCGTTTTCTTTACTGAAGAACCACTTTTGTATTCCTACACTTTAAACAAGATGGTTCTTCAAGGGTTCTCTAGTAAAGGCACTGGTTCTATTTAGAACCATATGCATGCTTGTACTTTTCTTTGTATGTATGGTTCTGTGTAGGGCCAAAAAAGGGTTCTGGTAGCGTTACAACATCAAGCTCGCACACAACAGAACACCACTTTTTGGTGCTATAAAGAACCATTTTCAAAAAGACTCCATTTAGAACCACACACAACACGTTCTCCACCAATCCAAAGAACCATTTCACCATCTATACCGAAGTCACTGTTCATTTTCCTTCACTAAAGAACCCTTGAAGAACCATCTCAGGTGTGTGGAGCTCATTAGTGTAGTTTCTGTGTTTATATTTGGAGCCAAAAGAACAAAAAACTGAGCGGAACAGCAACAAACGGGTTCTCGATCCCCCAAAATCACCCCCAACAGCAGGTTGGGGATCCACTGGGCCTGCAGGGCGACTGTTTACCTTGGCAGATCTGATGTGGTTGTTGCCTGTAAGATTAAATCCAATCTAATAATCAGACCAGGAGCAGTTTTCAGATGATAAAGCCTTTCAGTTGAAGCTTCTCCTCCCAGCCATCCAAACCACTGAGCCCATCCAGGCTGGATTCACCTCATATGCGGCTCCACCGGATCTCAGTCACTGCGGGACATTTCACCCCGTAAACGCCGCTTTTTCCTGCAGTTTTCCTTCGCTTACTCCCACAGGGACGCACGAGGATCCATAAAACTGGGAATAATCCGACAGCTGATATTATCTACACCCTGAAATCATCGTCAGGCGTGAAAGAGGAAAATCTCATCACAAAATATTCGACTTGTGCTGAATCAGCCGAGACTTGGGGGCAGTTGAGCAACTCGGGTCAGCCGGACACAGGGAAAAGTGCATCTGCTCCACTTGTGGACACCCAAACTGGCCTGTAAGGCGAGGAAATCCAGGGAAAGCATTTAAAAACCTTTAGTTTGGTTGTTTAGCTGGTGCTGAGCCGAGCCGCCATCCTCCTCCTCCTCCTCCTCCTCCTCCTCCTCCTCAGATTTCGAGGAGAAAAGCAGAGCCGAGCCAGAGGAGAGAGGCAGCGGGGAAAAAAGCGTCAAAAAACAACACCAAACCTCCGTTTAAAGCGCCCAAACGACGCCTGTTCCCCTCCGGCGCGGCGCGGTCGTGTGTTTTGGCCGGTAAATCCAGTAAATAAGGCCGAAATCCGCGCTTTTTTCCGGCCTTTACAACTCGCTCCGCTCCCGCGGCTCCTCCAGTTTCCTGCTCTCCCGAAAAGTCCGTGCGAGATGACGCGGCGGCCGTGCGTGGCCGTGACGTCAGCGCGTCGCCAGAGGAACTAGCGTGCGTGGCCAGCTGAGGAAAATGGCCTCCGCTGGGGTCAGGAGGGCAGGTAGCCTTAACAGTGGTGGACGAAGGACACAAACCGTGTACCTGAGTTAAAGCAGAGAACATGTTACTTAAGTTGAGTAAAAGTACTAAAGTATTCACCTTCAAATGGACTTAAGTATCAAAAGTAAAAGTACTAAAAGATTAATTATGGCTCTGATGTCCTATTATCATTATTGTAACAAGACTCGCTTCATTAACTCATTTTAGGTGAAAATACTCCAGTGTCTCTCTTGGTAAACCAGTCTTTTAATAGAATGTCATTAATTAGTGACGCTGATGTCTATTAAAATTATCATAAGCACAAAACACTGAAGGCAAACAGTTTCCATCAGGCAGAACTGAAAGGCTCTGAAATCACTTTTATAAACAAGCTTCAGTTTAAGATTTATTTGAACTTAGTTACAAGTTTTAGTTTAATTAAAACTTTAATCTCAGATTCACAAATGAGTTTCCTTTACTAAACTGCATCTGTAGGTCTCTGTCCATAAACATAAACTAGCCAAAACTAATTTACTATAAAATGAAATGTGTTTGTATAAATTTAGAATAAAGACACGTCAGTCACAACTGCATATGAGTACATATTTCTATATTGTGGTCTGTTTACACAAAGTTAGGTTAGTTCATCATTTATGTTGAATAGACTCTCCCTAAATTTTACGCTGCTGCACTGATGCTGAACCGTGTGCTGCACTGGGTCGGTATGACCAACAGGTCAAAACAAGCTCAAAACAAAGTGACCGCTGTGCCCTGATTGGTGTTCTTACTTTGTGCTTCTTTTGTTTTGACGTTACGTTTTTATACACACATAAACCAAAAGGAACGACAGATTTCGCATAATGTGGTGGAGTGAAAAGTGAGATATTAGACTTTGAAATGTAGTGGAGTGAAAGTAAAAAGTCACCCAAAATGGAAAAACTACTTAAGTACAGAAACGAATTACATTTACTTCGTTACTGTCCACCACTGGTGTAAAAGCCCCCAGCTTTTGCCTTTTCCCTTTAAATGAGCTACTTAGGCATGAGAGGACCATTTGAGCGAAGCTCTCCAGTCACTTCAGGCTGATTTCAGTCCAAAAATAAAGGCACACCTGAGTGTTTTTTGAACATCTCATGGTCCTGTCCTCTTCCAAGGAGACTGGACTGGCTGTCATTTGATCCACAGGCCTGTCAATCACTGTATGGCTTCAAAATAAACAGGACAGTACAGAAAAGAGAGTGATAAAGCAGTTACTCAAGACACTACAGTGTAATAGTCGAAGTAGAAATTCCTCTATAATACAAAGCACAGAGTGGGTTCAGCGCATATTTATTTATTTATTTATTTATTTATTTATTTATTTATTTTAATAAGACGTGTTTATGATACTCCTAACAGTGAGCATATATCGGTTCGCTGGCTTAATAAGGTCGGCCCCCCGCTGACCTTAGTTTGCCACTGCTGGTCCACTCTTGGACCACCCAGATTACTGTCCTGCACACAAGATCTAACTAGTTTTTAATCTCGTCAAACAGATTTTAAATACACAGAGACTTTTATTTTGGAAAATAAACAGACAAATATCACAAACAACTGAGAGAAAAAAAAAAATAACTAGGCCTGATTTGAAATGGTTTTATGGAAAATGTTGTTGCTGACTCTGCGCTGGATTAAAATTATACATACAATTATATATAAACTAATTTACAAAGTGTAACTAAAGAAAGGAAGAAAGGAAAAATAAGTAAACTGGACTGTGAGTGGAAAATGAGCGATGATAAGCGGAATTTTGTCTAATACTCTGTTTAACCACCGGTGGGCCGCCCGGAAAACGCTGAGCAAAACGCCAGTGGACCACCAGCTTTGCCATCAGCGGGCCGACAGTGGTCCACTATCCTCTTGCTATCTGGGACGTGTTTAGCTGAGGCTGTTTGTTTTTTTCTGTGTTGTCTTTCTCTTGTTCTCATCTCTATTCTACAGTATATTCTACACAAACAACTACAGATGGAGGAAGTAATGGCTGAAATTCATTATGTGGTGAAAGTGTACTGCCGTTCTGAATGGCTGTGGTGATTCAACACGTTCACAAACATTTTGCTGGGCAGCTACAAACAGTTTGGTTATCTGCACCGCAGATTTGCATCATTAAGGCACAGTGGTGGACAGTAACGAAGTAAATGTAATTCGTTGCTGTACTTAAGTAGTTTTTTGTGTATCTGTACTTTGCTGAAGTTTTTCCATTTTGGGTGACTTTTCCCTTTCACTCCACTACATTTCAGAGTCAAATATCTCACTTTTTACTCCACTTTTTACTCCACTACATTATGAGAAATCTGTCGTTCCTTTTGGTTTATGTGTGAATAAAAACGTAACATGTCAAAACAAAAGAAGTGCAAAGTAAGAACACCAATCAGGGCACAGCGGTCACTTTGTTTTGAGCTTGTTTTGACCTGTTGGTCATACCGACCCAGTGCAGCAGCGTAAAACTTTGGGAGAGTCTATTCAACATAAATGATGAACTAACCTAACTTTGTGTAAACAGACCACAATATAGAAATATGTACTCATATGCAGTTGTGACTGTCGTGTCTTTTTTCTGAATTTATACAAACACTATTTCATTTTATAGTAAATTAGTTTTGTCTAGTTTATGTTTATGAACAGAGACCTACAGATGCAGTTTAGTAAAGGAAACTCATTTGTGAATCTGAGTTTAAAGTTTTTATTAAACTTAAACTTGTAACTAAGTTCAAATAAATCTTAAACTGAAACTTTGCTTGTTTGTAAAAAGTGATTTCAGAGCCACTCAGTTCTACCTGATGGAAACTGTTTGCCTTCAGTGTTTTGTGCTTATGATAATTTTAATAGACATCAGCGTCACTAATTAATGACTCTATTAAAAGACTGGTTTACCAAGAGAGACACTGGAGTATTTTCACCTAAAATGAGTTAATGAAGCGAGTCTTGTTACAAAAATGATAATAGGACATCAGAATCATAATTAATCTTTTAGTACTTTTACTTTTGATACTTAAGTCCATTTGAAGGCAAATACTTCTAAAGGTCTAAAGGGAGGAACTTCTACTTTTACTGGAGTAATATTTTACCTTGGGTGTCTCTACTTTAACTCAAGTATGTGATTTGTGTACTTCGTCCACCACTGTTAAGGCACCTGTGTCTTATGCGCTCCCGCTGTCCACCGCACGAGAAGCCAGTCAGGAAGTGACACAGTTGACCTCAGCTGGTCCCCACTGTCCAGTTTATATATACTGTCTATGGTAATAGCACAGTCGGCCCATTAATTTTCCTGTTCTCACCCCAGAGTGGAGCATTTTAGCGTTCTCCTCCTTAATCAACTCATCAGCTGATCCCCAAAGCCTTCAGGAGGTTAAAATGGAGGTTTTATTTATCAATTAGGCCCTGTTTACACTTGGAATTGGAAAAGATGAAGAATATTTAAATCCTTCATTTTGTCAAGCATGTAGTCGGTTTCAGCGTCTCCAAAAGTGTTTTGTTGTCTCTTATACAACAGTTAGTTTCGGCCACGCGAGCTGATTGGTTGAGAGGCGTTCTAACCGTGCTGTTATTTCACCATAACATCACGGGTTCTTCACAAACACTGTATCACTCCGCTGAGACGCCGTTGCTAAGCAACGACTTTGACAGCTGTAGGAGACATTTGAACATTTTTACTTCTTACTTTGCCACAAACAGAAAATGGACACTTTTAAGATCACATTTGACCGACAGCCGATTTGGTCAGACTCTGAAGATGAGACGACACTAAATTCCCAAACTGTCATCACCACTGAGCAGCTTTTCAGTCGGCAGCTGTGACAGAAGAACAGCTGAACAACCTGGAATCAGCCAGAAATGAACCCAACACCGCCAAACGTGTAGTCTGATCTTCAGAGTCTGACCAAATCAGACTGAGCCATAAAACTGCCGCAATATCAGGTTTAGCTCAGTTTTGTCAGTTTTTCCAGATCAGTATTAATGTTGTTTTGTTCCAGCCAGTCTGTAAAGCATCTTACAGCCCATTTAGTTTGGCGAATGGTGTTGGGTTCATTTCTGGCTGATTCCAGGTTGTTTAGCTGTTCTTCTGTCACAGCTGCCGACTGAAAAGCTGCTCAGTGGTGATGACAGTTTGGGAATTTAGTGTAAGGAGCTGGAGAACGAACTGCCGGCTGTGCAGCGAGTGGGCGGAGCTCGTTACTCTGACGTAGCAATGAGCTGCTCGTTAAGGAACTATAATTTGGTGAAGGAACTGTGAACATTAAAACATATTAAACGCCGCGTTCACGGCCCAGTTTATTAATCTATTACTGTATTTATTTAACTGTTGTATTAAAGCAATAGAACACTCGAGGAGTGTGTTATCGCCAATAACATCACGGCTGTGATGATCTACAGCGACCAAATCACAGCCGTGATGTTATTTCGTGATAACACTCCCTCTGTGTTCTATTGCTTAAGCAATGCTTGTGTAAACAGTTTTGAGTGTTTAGAGTTTTGAATGTAGAGAGTTCCTCAGAAAGGCACCTTTTCAGCCCTGCACTGTTTTAGAATAGAAGGTGAAATGAATTCGCAGGAGCAGAACATCTCTGCGCAGTCCAGGCCCTGGTGTAAACTGATTCTGTTGTCATTTTCGTAGTGTAATTGCCTGTGTCTGTTATCCTTTGCATCCTGTTCGGTGTGAATAATTTATACCAGAGGGACTCGGAGAAATTCCCCAGTCAATCAGCTCTGGTTTTGTTGGCCTGCTTCTATTATCTCACTGATTGGTTGAACATCTCCAACAGCTTATGTAGTAATACAGGCATTTATCACAGCTGGACTAATACAGTTTAACAGGACATTAAACCTTTACCAGCTGAAAAGAGCTGCTCAAATGTGGCCATATTAT